TCCCTCTAATCTCACAGTGATTGGCATTATCATTTGAGACAAGCAAAGCAAATTAGTAGTTGTCGCGAGTCGCAAGCTGCTCCATTGGGATAGTACTCGAGTTGAATTACAAGATGTTTTTTATCTTGAGGATATTGTGGAAGATTGGATGTTTGAAAGCAAGGAACTCATCATCGAGGGGAACAATTACAACATGATCAAGCATCTTAAAGAGACAATGGACATAAGGATATGACAAAGCAACTTTCCCGAAAATCCAAACATTGGTTTCTTACTTAAATTCAAGCAAGTTTTGTTAATCCATACAAAGTGAGAAAGCAATATAGCTGCCCATACTTGTACAAAGAAAACTTTGGATAGTGATTTTGTTTTAAAGAACATACATCAACAAGATCCTCTCTTTATTGTTTTACAAGATTACCTTGCCAATTTTGCTAATGTCCATGGGACATAGCCTCTTTTGTCTTTTTTTTAGCCCTTTTAGGCTGTATAGCTTGTATGCTTCCTTTTATTTTTAACTTTTAATGCAATATGTACTTTTCAAATACATCATTGCAAGGATTGAAAATTACAAGTTCTCATAATGTATGACGCGGTGGATGAAGAAGAAGTAGAAATAGTTGTGATGAAAGAGAAACACTCTCACTTTTTCCCGCCTTAAAAACAAGGTTTCTTTGCCTAACAAAAATTTGGAATTTTGTATGCTAAGGAAAATTTAGTCTTTTATGTTTAGTAAAACTAGCACATTATATGACTCTGTCGTTTCCTTCGTCGCGCTTCGTCTGCCTCGAATCTGTCTACGTCGAATTCGTCTGCGTGACTTCGTCTGCTTCGACTTCGCGACTCCGTCTGCTGCGTCGTTTCCGCGTCCTTCGTCGTGCCTTGACGAAATTGCAGCCTTCATCGTTTGTGGTTCTTCTTCGTCAAGGCCGATACGCCGCATTCACCTGCTCGACTGCTCGCATCGTTCATAGGCCGCAGTTTTGCTCGCCTATTTCCAACATCCAGTGGCTCCCTAGCTGCTTTGGAGATGGCATCCACGATCCGCTCCTATGTCACTGCACTTGTCGGCGATATTCCTATTTCTACTCGTGCTTCTCTTTCAAGTTCAGAGTCTGGTTTTTATATTGGCAAGTCCTGCAAAGTTCCTCAACCTTTTCACGACTGGTGGCAATCACACCTTCATAAAAAAATTAGGAGAAAAAAATGGGAAGTCTGCTCTTATTCTCACAGATGTTGAAAACAGTACTCTCGCGTCCTCCCGGTGCTTTGCTCTAGTGGGTAAATTTTTGTATGGTCACCCAAAACTGGAGATCATTCGGAAAGATTTTGAAGCTGTGAAGCTATTTGGCAGTTGAAATATTGGTTTACTTGACGGTCGACACATACTGATTCAGTTGTCTCATGATGTTGATTACACTTGCATCTTTCCTCAGAAAGTTATCAAGATCGACAA